ACCCCTCCGGTCGTTCTCCCACCCCCATCTCCCACCCCCAGCTTGTCTTGTCTTTCCCCCTCCCCCACACTGTGGGCGGAGCCGGGATGCAAATGAGGCTGGTCGGAGGCGCAGCGCGGGCGGGGAGGGGGGGCGCCCGGCATCCCGAAGCGCGCGCGGCGGCTGCCAGGGCTCCGTCCCGTGGCGCCCCGCCGGCAGCCTGCCAGAGCCCCGAGCCGGGTTAGCTTGCCCTGCTTGGACGCTCCTTCCACGGCTCCGGAGCGACCTTCCCGGAGCCAGCCATGCAAATCTCCATCGCTTGCACGGAGCAGAACCTGCGGAGCCGCAGCAGCGATGACCGACTCTGCGGGGGCGGCGGGCGGGCGGGGACGGCGGCGGGGGGGCGGGGGTCCCGGCCAGGGGAACAACGGTGCTTTCCAGCCCCCGGCCAAGGGGTCCCGGTTGGCGGGGGGCGGCCGGACGGCCGGGCAGACCCTACCCCACCAGCTCGCCTTCCTCCTGCGGGAATCCACCGGGCGAGCCACCGGCATGAACTATCGGTAAGCGGGCTTCTCGGGTTGCGGGGGAAGGAATCATCTCTCCCAAGGGGTTGCCGGACTACAAAGCCCATCGGCCGCGCAGGATTTGGCCAGCGGCCGGTGATGCTGAAGGTTTGGCGTCTGCGCTTGGGGGGAGGGGCTCATTACGGTGGAGGGGAGGGTCGAGCTGTAATGAGCCCACCCCTCCCCAAGGGATGCCGGACTACAAAACCCATCGGCCGCGCAGGATTTGACCAGCGGCCGGGGATGCTGAAGGTTTGGCGTCTGCGCTTGGGAGGGGCAGGGGGTTGATTTGGCGGGTGGGGGGGAGGATCGCCCTGGGGAACACCCCTCCCCAAGGGGATACAGGACTACAAAGCCCATTGGCCGCAACAACTTGACGAGCGGCCAGTGATGCTGAAGGTTGGAGTCTGTGCTTGTGAGGGACGGGGTGGTGGTGGTGCTGATTAGGGTGGGCGGGAAACACCCCCCTCCCCAAGGGGATGCCGGACTACATATCCCATCGGCCGTACAGGACTAGCCGAGCTGGCCGGTGGTGCTGAACATTGCACGGATTAAGGTGGATTAAGGTGCAGGGGGAGGCAGGAGCAGATTGCAGGTAAGAAAATTGATCTGGGCGGGATGGGGGGAGAGAAATGAGGGTGGGGGGGGTGGGAGTGTGCCGAAGGGTCCCTCCCTCCCTCCCCAAGGGGATGCCGGACTACAGATCCCATCGGCCGCAGAGTGCCTGCCAAACTGACAGTCTATATAATCAGCCTCTTAAGGAGGGGAAGGGAGCCGCGTTGCGCCAGTCCCCAGGGATGCTGGACTACAGATCCCATCAGCCACACAGTCTGAAGATTACAGTCTAAAGTTTTTTTGGGGGGGGGGTCCCATTGGCTGCTGGGACGGAGGTAGGCAGGGAGATGAGTTGCGGTGTGTTGCGTTCCAGGCCACTGGATTTCTGGGACACTTTGACAGTAGGGAAAGGCCGGGGGGGGTTGTGTGTCCCCCTCCTTGCCAGAGAGTGGGGGGGACGAGGAAGGAAAATCGTGCCAAGCCCCCCACCACCAAAAAAAACCCACATTCCTCCCCGATTGCCCCCCAATCTTTCCGTTTCCAAAAACCCCATTCCAACCTCCTGCTTCATTAAAGTTAGATGCGGGGAATTTTTGAACCTGAAAGTTAATTGTCTCGTTCCAAGAAGGCAAAGGGGAAAAAAAAAATTGGGGTTCTTGCAGATGGGGGGCATGGGAGGGTGGGGGGAAGAATGATCCAAGACTTTGGGGTTCCCCTGTAAAAAGAGAAGGGGCTGTGAGTGGTGGAAAAAAAACCCTACACATTCCGCTAAAGAGATGTGACTTGGACAGGGAAAAAAAAACCCCCACTTTCTCCGACCTGGCTCAGGTGTGAAATCCAGATGTGCTGGATTGTCGCTCTCCCCTGCCCTGTGCAAGAGGTAGCAAAATGTGTGTGTAAAAGAGTCCCAAGTTTGCTCCACTAGTAGGCCCCCAGATTTCCACTGCGTGCCCCAAAGAATATTTTATAACGGAAGCTTTGCGAGCTGCAAAACTCCTGCCTTTGTGGCGAGATTGTGTCCTTGTGGTGTTGTGTTGTGTTTGCAAGAGGTGCAAATGAGGTGAGGAGGAGGAGGAGGAGGAAGAGGAGGAGGAGAGGCGCTTGGCATGCGGGGGGGGGGAAGAGGAGGGGTAGTGATGGGCACCTCTGAAAGGATTAAGAGGCAGGTGGCATCGTGCCAAGAGAACAGAAGGTAAAGGTCCCAACGGGAATCAGGCTTGGGGTTGCGGGGGGGTTGGCCGACTGTGGGGCTGGCCACCAGCCCATCTGGGAGATCCAACTCCCTCGTGTCGTGCCCCCCCCCCCCCACCACAAATCAGATCCGTTGTCGGGAATCCAGCTAGCTTCCAAACCCACCATCCCAATTTGATCCTCATCGCTGCTAGGGTGCATCGGTTCCGGGAAGACGGCCAGACGGGCAGATTAAAAGCCGGGGTTGACAAACTTTCGACGTGGGTCACGTTGGCCTCTGGATTTGGGTGAGGGTTGGGAGGAGGGCAGGACCCACATCCAGCAGATGAAGGTCACTTAACGGAACGGCGAGATCCGACCGAGAGGTTGAGACTCGCTCAACGTCCTGCAAACACCCATCTCGTTTCTCTTAAAGACAGAAGAGGGAGGGAGGGACGGGGGGAAAAAAACCGGGATTTAATGTCGTGGATGCGTGGCCCACATTTAAATCTCCAGCGGTGATCTGTGGCTTGATGTTGGGTTTTTTTTTTCTCCCTGCTTTTCAGAGGATTAATATTCGTTGTGTATTATGGTAATAGGATATATATATATATAGGATTGGAGCGCGACGTCACTAAAAAAGAAATGAGAATAGCTGCCCACATGAAACCGGGATGGTTCGTGGCCTGTTTTCCTCCCAGCAATTAGAAGCAGGAGTGACTCGGTTTCGAAAGTGCCAGGCACAAACCGGCATCTATTTTTAACTTTGTTATTGCTCAGAAGGGTGGCTCCCTAATAAAACAGGCGAGAGTCACTAAAGCAGGGGAGGAACACGACCCAGAAGGAGCAGCCGCAGCCTTTCGGGGTACGCTGGGAACTTGGGACGAGTGTCAGAAGTTTCTGAGTACCCGTAATATTCCTGGTTGGTCCATCCCCCACAAAGCAACAAACGAACGGAAATGCAGCTTGCTCATCCCTTGTGGGGGTTCGGCCTGGATTTCTCCTCTGAATATGTTGGACTACAACTCCCAGCATGCTGGGCAGCACCAGAAGAACGTTGCATGCTGTATGGAGGGCGGCACTCTGTCCTTAAAAGAAAGCAGACGTGAAACACAATTGTTGTGTTGGTGGAGGAAACCTCGCTCAGGGACCTTGTACAGATAGTCCTCGACGTACGACCGTTCGTTTAGTGACCGTTGAAAGTTACAACGGCACTGGAAAAAGGGACTTGTGACTGTTTTTCACACTTAGGACGGTTGTGGGGCATCCCCATTGTCACGTGGATCAAAATTCAGACGCTTGGCCGTTGACTCGTATTTATGATCGTTGCAGCGTCCCGGGGGGGGGTCACGCGAGCCCCTTTTGTGACCTTCTGACGAGCAACATCCATGGGGACGCCGGATTCATTTAACGACCGTGTCACTAGCGTAACAACCGCCGTGATTCACTTAAACAATGAAAGGCCAAGAAAGGCCATTTAAAAATGGGGTCTGGATTCACTGAACAAACGACTCGCTTAGCAACAGAAATTTGGGGGAGTTCAATTGTGGTCGTAAGTCGAGAACTACCCGTAAGGGCATGTGCGAATGATCTTGGAGGGGACAGGAAGAGCTGCAGACAAGGCAAGAGGCAGCTGAGAGGCAATTGAGCCCACGGAAAGAATGAGGACATGGGAAGTAGCCAGTGGGTGGGATTCAGCCGGTTCTGTCCGGTTCGGGCAAATCGGTGGCGGCGACTCCAGTAGGACCCACCCACCCGCCTGGACATAATGCCGTCCTATTTCACCACATTTTGGAGGCTGTGCACATGCGCGGAAGGCTCCCGCACGAGCAAAGAACATACACAGAAGGCTGATCAGGCACGGAAGATGGCGCGTGTGAGCGAAGCGAGTGAGCGGACACACGCGCTCTCACATTTCCGAACCGGTAGGGAATGTAAGTGAATCCCACCTCTGGAAGAAGCTTCTCGGAAGACACTCTCCCTAGTTTCTTGGACTGTAAAGGGGGGGGAGAGAGATGCAATTCACGGATGCAATACGGCAATTCACTTGCGCGTGCCGTCTGCACACGAGTGAGATGTCAAACAACAGCAGCTGTTTACACATTCATGCAGCACCCAAAACACAGCGATGTAGGATGGATTTGCGCCCCCACCCACAGGTCGCCAGTACCAGTTCGCCTGAACCGGTCCGACCTGGCTGAATACCACCTCTGATTTATACCCTCTCTTGGGCTTTGAACTTGCTTCCTGTTCCTGTGAAAGAAACGTATTCTGATTGGTTGTCAGACTCCTAGGGGGCCATGCAAGGGGCAACTTTGTAGGTTGTCTTGAGTCCCAGGCTCGGTTGAATCCCGCTGGGTGATGTAATCTTCCCAGGTGCCGTGTGATGAGATGGGTAGAGGGCTAATCCTATTATGTCCTGAGGTTGAAGGTCCTTTGTGTTGTAGATAAGCTGGCCCAGTCTTTCTGGGGCTATTAAGAAAGTCCAGTTGCCTCTTGGGACAACTGTGACCTGGAGGACTGAGAATTTCCATAGACATTTTCCCGTCACTTTCCTTCTGAGGGCTCAGCTGCCTCTTATCTTGCTTCTTCCGCATCTGTTCTTCCTGCCTCCCAAGGCCATTTCCACAGACCCTGACAGACCACCGTTGCCATCCCCAGTGCCAAAGGCTTAACTGAAAGTTGCGCCCACCCCCCACCCCAATTTCACTTTCCCGTTTCTTCCCATTGCAGGAACCTCGGGAAGTCTGGTCTGCGTGTCTCCTGTCTGGGCCTCGGTGAGTTCCGCAGCTTGAGAAACAATGAACTGGGTGGGCCTCGGTGGCGCAGAATCCTTCTGAAAGGTGGGAGGTCCCCTCAATTTTTTTGAAACTGTCTTGGGCGTGTTTGTCGTTTCCTCCTTCGCCAACCAGCTTCCAGCTCCACCACAGATAAGGTGTCAAAGAGACTGTAAGGTTTGTGGACTTCAACTCCCAGAATTCCCCAGTCAGCCACATAGGGTAACTTTCTTCACAGATGGTGGGAATGCAGTAAAGTCCTATATCTTGACTTCGGCAAAGTGGAAAAAAAAGAGCTGGCTGGGGAATTCTGGGAGTTGAAGTCCACAAATCTTAAATCAGGGTTCTCCGACCTTAGCCACTTTTAAGATTTGTGGACTTCAACTCCCAGAATTCCCCAGCCAGCCACATAGGGTAACTTTCTTCACATGGTGGGAATGCAGTAAACGTCCTATATCCTGACTTCGGCAAAGTGGAAAAAAAGATCTGGCTGGGGAATTCTGGGAGTTGAAGTCCACGAATCTTAAATCAGGGTTCTCCGACCTTAGCCACTTTTAAGATTTGTGGACTTCAACTCCCAAAAATTCCCCAGCCAGCCACATAGGGTAACTTTCTTCACAGATGGTGGGAATGCAGTAAATGTAATATATCCTGACTTCGGCAAAGTGGAAAAAAAGAGCTGGCTGGGGAATTCAGGGAGTTGAAGTCCACTGGTCTTAAATCAGGGCTCTCCGACCTTGGCCACTTCATCTGGAATTCTATTGGGTCTCCTCTTGAGCAGAGGGTTGGACTAGAGGACCTCCAAGATCCCTTCCGACTCTTGTGATTCTGTTGCTTTCGGTTCTAGGCTAGGTTCTAGGTTCTTTCGATTAAGAGCAGCTTGGCAAATCTTTATTAGCAAGAGGGGGCGACCCACTCGATAATCCTATTTCAAAAGCCTGTTTTGCCTTGTAGGAACGTGGGTGACGTTTGGATCCCAGATCTCCGATGAGGTGAGTCTCAAACTTCCGCCCGCCTACCCATTTCATGACTGCAGTGGAAAGGTAGAATGGAATAAAAGACAGGAAGAAGATCTGACCGTCAAGGACAGAGAAGAGGGTCTCAAGTCCCAGCCAAGAACATAACATGCAGATTTACCGATGAACAGAAGCAAGAGACCCTAATAGGAGACAACAACTCAGCTAAATCCTTCCCTCTTTCAGACAACCACAAAGCACATTCAGACGTGCAAGATTCTTTAGCTATGATCATTTTTAAAAAATCCTGATTTATATGGATTGGGTGTTTTACTCTGGTCTACCATGTTGGACTCTTGCAGCAGTGAGATGCCCCGTTGCCCTACGACCATCAGGGAGAATCTATTTCGATTCGGCTGAATTAAGAGCAATTAAAGTTTTGTAGGCTATAAACATCCTGAGGTCTTCTCTTCGCCCTTTGCTGAATTTCTTCTGGTTTTCCTAAAATGGGGTGCCAGAACTGGACCCAATATCAGATCAGGTCAGCGTTTCTCAAAGCTGGCAGCTTTTAAGACAGGTGGACTTCAACTCCCAGAATTCCCCAGTCACCCATATAGTGTAACTTCTTAAGAGATGGTGGGTATGCAGTAAACATAATATATCTTGACTTCAACAAAGTGAAAAAAAAAAGAGCTGGCTGGGGAACTCTGGGAGTTGAAGTCCCCAAGTCTTAAATCAGGGGGTCCCCAATCTTGACTACTTTTAAGACGGGTGGACTTCAACTCCCAGAATTCCCCAGTCACCCATATAGTGTAACTTTCTTAAGAGATGGTGGGTATGCAGTAAACATAATATATCTTGACTTCGGCAAAGTGAAAAAAAAAAAAAAAGAAATGGCTGGGGAATTCTGGGAGTTGAAGTCCACAAGTCTTAAATCAGGGGTCCCCAATCTTGACTATTTTTAAGTCGGGTGGATTTCAACTCCCAGAATTCCCCAGCCAGCCATGTAGAGTAACTTTCTTAAGAGATGGTGGGTATGCAGTAAACATAATATATCTTGACTTCAACAAAGTGAAAAAAAAAAGAGCGGGCTGGGGAATTCTGGGAGTTGAAGTCCCCAAGTCTTAAATCAGGGGGTCCCAATCTTGACTACTTTTAAGACGGGTGGACTTCAACTCCCAGAATTCCCCAGTCACCCATATAGTGTAACTTTCTTAAGAGATGGTGGGTATGCAGTAAACATAATATATCTTGACTTCGGCAAAGTGAAAAAAAAAAAAAAGAAATGGCTGGGGAATTCTGGGAGTTGAAGTCCACAAGTCTTAAATCAGGGGTCCCCAATCTTGACTATTTTTAAGACGGGTGGATTTCAACTCCCAGAATTCCCCAGCCAGCCATGTAGAGTAACTTTCTTAAGAGATGGTGGGTATGCAGTAAACATAATATATCTTGACTTCAACAAAAGTGAAAAAAAAAAGAGCGGGCTGGGGAATTCTGGGAGTTGAAGTCCACAAGTCTTAAATCAGGGGTCTCCAACATTGGCAACTTTAAGACTTGTGGACTTCGATTCCCAGAATTCCCCAGCCAGCCACGTAGGGTAACTTTCTTAATAGATGGTGGGTATGCAGTAAGCGTAATATATCTTGACTTCGGCAAAGTGAAAAAAAAAAAGAGCTGGCTGGGGAATTCTGGGAACTGAAGCCCACCCGTCTTAAAAGTTGCCATGGTTACTGACCTCCGTTGGGGAATTCTGGGAGTTGAAGTCCACCCATCTTAAAGTTGCTGGTTTTTTTTTTTTTTAAAAGAGGTCTAGATTGACCTCGGCTTCCTCTCCAAGTCTCAAAATTGAATAGACCCAACTCCCTAGCCCCCCCCCCCACATAATTGTGTGTCCCTAAAATCCAAAGAGAGAGAGAAGTTCCTAAATCTTTTTTTTCCCCCCTCCTTCTGAACTGTTACCAGGCAGGAGTTAACCGGTTGGTGACAGATTTTTCTATCTCTGCAAGAGAAGCTTTTCCTAGAAGGGGGGGAGGAAGGGGGGAGAGTGAAGCCTCTCAGATTAAAAAAGCCCCCCTCCTCTTTTCTCGAAACCCCCTTCCCCCCCTTTTTTTCTGCTTCCAGGTGGCTGAAAACGTGCTCACCATCGCTTACGAAAACGGGGTCAACCTCTTCGACACAGCCGAAGTCTACGCTTCTGGCAAGTAGGTTGGGCTGTTGCTCCCTTGTTCTTTCTTGGGGTTGGGGAGGGGGGGAAAGAAAATGGGGGGGGACGGGGAACGGACAGGATCCCGAGGGTTTGCCGACTGAGCTGCAGCGTTTGAATTGGGAGATTGGATGGCCTACGAGGGCGGTAAGACGGTGTGGCTTCTCACCCAGCAAGATGGACTAGGGGGTTGGACTAGAGGACCTCTAGAGAGCCCTTCCAGCCCTGGGATTCTGTGTTCTCTCCTTAATCTAGAGGGGGAAAAGGAATATTTCTCCCTTGCAAAAGGAACTGAATTGTCTCGGCCCGTGATGGGGAACCTATGGCACGCAGAGCCATGTTGCCTGGCACACCAGCTCAGCTCCGTCAGCTGGTTTTCGGCCCTTTTGGGCCCACCAGAAGAGGGCCCGGGGGTGGTGGTGGAAGGCCCGTTTTTCTTTCTCCTTGGCTCCAGATCCTCTCTATGCATCTGGGGAGGGCGCAAACAGCCTTCCCCACCCCCTCGGAGGCCCGAAACGGCCCGTTTCCCAACTTCCGGCCTCCGAAGGGATGGGGAAGGCTGTTTTTGCCCTCCCCAGATGCATAGAAAGGATCTGGAGCCAGGTGAGAAAGATAAACGGGCTTACCGGGCCATTGCGTGCCAGGAGTGGTGGGGGGAAGGAGGGTCACGCTTGCATGTGCGTGGCGGGGCACATAGAATTATGGGTGTGGGCACACGCCTGCGCAAGTCTCCCTCGCCTCCCCCCTTCCTGGCACGCGATGGCAAAAAGATTAGCCATTGCCAAGTTCCCTTAACTCTTGTCGGCATGGACAAGGGGGCACCTCAACCACAGCCCCCCCCCACAAGGCGTTGTGGGCGCCACCCCAACCCTGAACCAACCCCTCCCTTCCTTCTGTGCCTGGCCTGTCGGCTCCTCCCAAGCATATAAATCGAATAATCGAAATAAAAAGATAAAAAGCTTCCAACTCCCCCGTGGCTATTTTCTGCGTTCAGGGGAGATCTATCAAATAGTCCCACCATGCACGAATGTGGGGGGGGGAATGCTTTTATTATGCTCAGGAGCCCTCTTGTGCACTGTGCATGAAAAAAAAAGCGCTCTTTCCGTGCTCAGAAACCCTCTTGGCCGCTTTGCAGGGAGAAAAGGTCTTTTTTCATGCTCTGAATTTGCTTTTTCCCACTCACCCCATGCTCAGAGGCCCCCTTCTCTTGAAGGACTCTGTCCTAATGCAGATGGTTTAATCCCTGCTGGAACCTTCCGTCTTTCCACGAGACCAGCCGCCTTCCGTTTTTTTTTTTTTTTTTTTCCCCCCCCTTGCATGTCACTTCGTAAGCCGAGCATTGGCTGGGAGCGTTTCCTTCTAAACTGTGGCCAATTTCAGAGTCGGTGACACGATTCTGTCATTCCGGATTTGGGGATCGGTCCAAACGAAGTGTGTGTGTGTATGTGTGTGTGTGAGTGAGTGTGAGTGAAAAAGAGAGAGAGAGAAAGAGGGAGGGAGAGAGAGAAAGAGAGAGAAAGAAAGAGAGGAAGAAAAAGAGAGGAAGAGAAAGAAAGAGGAGGGAGAGAGAGAAAGAGAGAGAAAGAAAGAGAGGAAGAGAAAAAGAGAGGAAGAGAAAGAAAGAGGGAAGGGAGGGAGAGAAAGAGAGAGAAAGAAAGAGAGGAAGAGAAAAAGACAGAGAGAGAAAGAGAGAGAGAAAAAGAGAAGAGAGAGAAAGAGAAAGGGAGCAAAAGAAAGAGAGGAAGAGAGAAAGAGGAAGAAAGAGAGAGAACGAGAGAGAGAAAGAGAGAGAACGAGAGAGAGAGAAAGAGAGAGAAAGAAAGAGAGGGGAAAAAAGAGAAAGTGAGAGAGAAAGAGAAAGAAAGGGAGAAAATGAAAAAGATAGATAGAAGAGGGAAGGAAAGAGAGAAAGAGAAAGAGAGAGAAAAGAGAAAGAGAGAAAGCCGAAGCGAGAGAGAGAAAGAAAATGAGAGAGAAAAAGAGGGAGGGAGAGAGGAAAAAAGAAAGAAAGGGAGAGAAAGAAAGAAAGGGAGAAAGAAAGAGAAAAGAGAGAAAGAGAGGAAGAAAGAGAGGGAACAAGAGAGAGAAAAAAAGAAAGAGAAAGAAAGTAAGAGAAAGAAAGAGAAAGAAAGAAAAGACATATAATATATGTATGTATGTATGTATGTACGTACGTACGTACATACATACATACATACATACATACATACATACATTTCCAAAGGATGATGGAAAACTTACAAAAGTTGATTCAGGTGGAGCTGAATCCTGTCAACGACAACCAGACAGACGGGGCCTTTGCACAAATCGTAGCACACAGGGCACACACACACACACACGCATGCACGCACACACAGTTGTGCACTCTCTCACACACACACCAATGCACGAACGGGCGATCGGTCAACCGGAAGGCTTCTTACGGGGTTGCCATTTCAGCTGCTTAGCAATGGCTGCAAAACTGTCCACGGTGTAAGAGGAGAGTTGTGTTCCTTTGCAATGCTAACACAACAAACAACCACAACAACAACAACAAAAATCAGGATCCCGTCAGCAGCGTTGCCCGAAGGCTTCCGTCCTGGTAGTCAGCAAAGGAGCTTCCATGTTCCTCCTCCTCCCGACTAAGGGAATTGCAAGAGTCGGAAGGGACCTCGGAGGTCATCTAGTCCAACCCCCTGCTCAGGAAGGGAGCCATTATTACGGAGTGTGTAATTCTTGGGGGGGGGGTGAGAAGAGAGAAAGAAATTCTGTACAGCTTCCTCCTTTTTCTCACCCCACTGGAAACCACACGCCGTTTCCCAACACAGCGGCCGATCAAGGAAGGGAGGCCTCCAAGCGATTTTCTTACAGCCCCGAGAAGCTCCCTGCCCTCCGCAGAGGAAGGGGGGAAAGAGGGGAGGACGGAAAGCGGGAGGAGGACGAGGGAGGGAGCTGATGCAAGATTCTGCCTTTTAATAAGATTTATTAATTGGAGAGACTCCTGATTCTCCTTCCTTCCTTCCTTTTTCCTTTCTTCCTCTTCTCTCCTTCTCTCCCTCCCTCCTTCTCATGATCATCCCTGTTTTATTCCTTCCTTCCTTTCCCTCCTCTCCCTCCCTCCTTCCCTCCTTCTCTTTCTCTTTTCTCTTTCCCTTTCTCTTCCTTCCCTCCCTCCCTTTCTTCCTTCCTTCCTTCCTTCCTTTTTCCTTCTCTCCCTCCTTCCTCCTTCTCATGATCATCCCTGTTTTATTCCTTCCTTGATTCCCCTCCTCTCCTTCCCTCCTTTTCTTTCTCTTTTCTCTTTCCCTTTCTCTTCCTTCCCTCCCTCCCTTTCTTCCTTCCTTCTTTCCTTTTTCCTTCTCTCTCTCCTTCCCTCCTTCTCACGATCATCCCTGTTTTATTCCTTCCTTCCTTTCCCTCCTCTCCCTCCCTCATTATCATCCGTTTTTCCTTCCTTTCTTCCTCCCTCCCTCTCTCTCCTTCCCCTCTCCTCTTGTCTCCCCTCCATCCCATCCTTTTTCCCTCTCTCACTCCTTCCCTCCTTCTCATGATTATGCCTGATTTTCCTTCCTTCCTTCCTTCCCTTTTCTATTTCCTTTCCTTCTTTCTTTCCTCTTTTCCATATCCTTCCATCCACCTTTTTTCTCTTCCATTCTTTTTTTTTTCCAGAGCAGAAAAAACCTTGGGAAACATCTTGAAGAGCAAAGGATGGAGGTAAGGTGCCCCCACTCGGTCCCTGCTGGCAGGTGGCACCAAGGATGCCCCCAACCCAGATTGGCATCTGGGTCCTTTCCTGGAAGGGCGGAGAGGGTGAGAGTGGGTGGGGCTGTGAGGTCATTGAAGGGGGCGGAGTCACAGCATCTGGATCTGGACTCCAGTTCGACTCCATTTCACGACCTTTCTCGCCACCGTGGTTAAGCGAATCGCCACGGTTGTTAAGCGAGTCACGCGGTTGTTAAGTGAACCCGGCTTCCCCGGGGACTTGGCTTGGCGGAAGGTCGCAAAAGGGGACGACCCAGGGACGCTGCCACCGTCATAAGTGTGAGTCCGTTGCCGAGCGTCTTGTGTTTTGATCACGGGCATTTGACCACCCTGGGGATACGACGACGGTCGTAAGTGTGAAAAAAAACCCGGTCATACGTCCCTTTTCTCAGTGACGGAACGTCGGACGGTCGCTAAATGAAACGTCGTAAGTCGAGGACTGCCTGTATTTCTCGCCGTAGGGTTTTGAGGGCCTCCGTCTGCTCACTTTTTTTTCTCTTTTGACTTCTTTTGCAGGCGTTCCAGTTACGTGGTTACCACCAAAATTTACTGGGGAGGCCAGTAAGTACCCCGAGGGAGGCTTGGGAGGAAATGGGGGGCTCAGCTGGGCAGTGGGAAACAGGGAGGGACCCCCACCCCACCCCCACCCCACCCCCGTCTCCCAGACCTGCTCGTCTGCAGAAAAATCAGATTTTCCCCCCCTTCAGTGCCGTCTTTTCCAAAGGGTGTCTTCCGATGGCATTGGACTACAAGGCCCATCCTCCCCTGACAAGTGGTAGCTGGGGGTGGGTGGGTGGGAGGAAGGCCCCTGCATGTGAATAGGGCTGTCTTTTTTATTGTGGCCTTGTGGAAAACAGGAACAGAGCCCCCCCACCCCCCGCAGTATTTTTCTAGGGGACCCCCTCAAAACATCTACCTGCCCCTTGGGGATTCGGGGTGGGGGGGCAGCTGGGCCGTGGATGTGAATCTTTAACCTCTTTCCCCCCCCCCCCACTTTTCTTCAAAGGGCTGAGACGGAAAGGGGCTTATCACGGAAACACATCATTGAGGGTGAGAAGGATGGGATGGGAGATGAGTCTCAAGGGAGGGGGGAGGGGGCAATTCATGGAAAGGGGGAGAAGCGTTAAGTAGGAGAGGAGGGAGGGAGGGAGGGAGGAAGAGAGAGAAGAAGAAGAGAGGGAGAGAGAAGCAAAATGGAAGGAAGGAAGGAAGGAAGGAAGGAAGGAAGGAAGGAAGGAAGGAAGGAAGGAAGGAAGGAAGGAAAATAGATAAGAGGAAGGGGGAGGGAGAAGAGAAATAGAAGGGAGAGGAAGGAAGGAAGGAAGGAGAAAAATAGATAAGAGGGAGGGAAGGAGAAGAAAAATAGAAGAGAGAAGAAAGAAGGAAGAAAGGAGAAAAATAGATAAGAGGAAGAGTGGAGGGAGGGAGAAGAGAAATAGGAGAGGAAGGAAGGAAGGAGAAAAATAGATAAGAGGAAGGGTGGAGGGAGGGAGAAGAGAAATAGAAGGGAGAGGAAGGAAGAAGGAAGGAAGGAAGGAGAAAAAATAGATGAGGAAGGGTGGAGGGAGGGAGAAGAGAAATAGGAAAGGAAGGAAGGAGAAAAATAGATAAGAGGGAGGGAAGGAGAAGAAAAATAGAAGGGAGAAGAAAGAAGGAAGGAAGGAGAAAAGTAGATAAGAGGAAGAGTGGAGGGAGAGAGAAGAGAAATAGAGGAAGGAAGGAAGGAAGGAAGGAAGGAAGGAAGGAAGGAAGGGAGAAAAATAAATAAGAGGAAGGGGAGGAAGAAAAGAAATAGAAGGGAGAGGAAGGAAGGAACGAAGGAAGGAAGGAGAAAAAAATAGATGAGGAAGGGTGGAGGGAGGGAGAAGAGAAATAGAGGAAGGAAGGAAGGAGATAAACAGGTAAGAGGGAGGGAAGGAGAAGAAAAATAGAAGGGAGAAGAAAGGAGGAAGGAAGGAAAAAAATAGATAAGAGGAAGAGTGGAAGGAGAGAGAAGAGAAATAGGAGAAAGGAAGGAAGGATGGGTGGAAGGGATGGATGGATGAACAGATGAAGGGATGGAGGGGTGGAAGGAAAGAAGGATGAATAGAAGGATGGATTAAGGGGCAGAAGAGTGGATGGATGGATGGATGGACGGACGGAAGAGCCAATGGATAGATGGGAGGATGGACTACAAGCTCCGCAGTCCCGGATGGTGACCCCCAGCTCCCATCATCCCCAGCCCTCCCACTTTGGCGCTTGCAATTCCAACCTTTCTCCTCCCTCCCTCCCTCCATTTCCCAGGGCTGAAAGGGTCCCTGCAGAGACTTCAACTGAGCTACGTCGACATCGTCTTTGCCAACCGGATGGATGCCAACAGCCCCATGGAAGGTGGGTGGCTTCTGACCTTCTCTTCTCCCCCTCCCCACATCGAACTTTAGGGGGGGGGGTCAGGATTCAGGAACCCCCACTTTCCCAGCCTTCCCATTTTGAGTCAGGGCTCTGCCTCCGTTTACCCTGAACAAAATGCCTTTTTTTTATCACCTGCCGGGATAATCCCACAATTTTTTTAAAAAAAACATTTAATTATTGTCTCCCATATTCCAGAACCACATTTTGCAGGAGGGGAGTTGAAAACGACCCAGATTGTGGCAGCCATTTTGACTTTTTTGACCTGACCCTGGAGCTCTGTCCCTACGACGCTGCTTTCGTTCCGGAGGGGGGAAAAAAAACATTTAATTATTGTCTCCCATATTCCAGAACCACATTTTGCAGGAGGGGAGTTGAAAACGACCCAGATTGTGGCAGCCATTTTGACTTTTTTGACCTCACGCTGTCACTCTGTCCCTACGACGCTGCTTTCGTTCCGGAGGGGGGAAAAAAACAACATTTAATTATTGTCTCCCATATTCCAGAACCACATTTTGCAGGAGGGGAGTTGAAAACGACCCAGAGTGTGGCAGCCATTTTGACTTTTTTGACCTCACGCTGTCACTCTGTCCCTACGACGCTGCTTTCGTTCCGGAGGGGGGAAAAAAAACAACATTTAATTATTGTCTCCCATATTCCAGAACCACATTTTGCAGGAGGGGAGTTGAAAACTACCCAGATTGTGGCAGCCATTTTGACTTTTTTGACCTCACGCTGCTGTCGCTCTGTCCTTACGACGCTGCTTTCGTTCCGGAGGGGGGGAAAAAAAACATTTAATTATTGTCTCCCATATTCCAGAACCACATTTTGCAGGAGGGGAGTTGAAAACTACCCAGAGTGTGGCAGCCATTTTGACTTTTTTGACCTCACGCTGTCGCTCTGTCCCTACGACGCTGCTTTCGTTCCGGAGGGGGGGGGAAAAAAACATGCGGAAAAGAAATAAGAAATAGGGAAAGCCAAGAACTGCTCAGGAAGAAAGAAGAAGAAAGGGAAAAGGGGGCTAGATCGGGGACTTATGACCGGTCCTCGCACTTACGACGGTCCCCGTGGCCATGTCGTCAAAATTCATAGATACCCAGCTGGTATCTACGACAGGTCATGCAACCGCCATTTATATTATGACCTTCTGGCCGGAGGCTAGATTTGCTGAGCGGAAATGTCGGATTCGCTTCACAACCGTCCCCGACTCGCTTAACGACCATCAGGAAAATGATCGTAAAACCAGACGCGACTCCCTTAACAACCGCAGTTTTCCTCTGCTCTCGCGGAGACGTCCTTCCTTAGTGAAGCCGACGGCCTCTGTTCCCCCCCATTTTTTTTTCTAGGGAGGGGGTGCAGGGGAGGGGGTGACACCCCCCAGCCCCAAATTTTGGTATCCAGTCAACCAGGCTTAGCTTTACAAACTCCAGCCCGTCTCACTGGTTCTCTCCTTGCTGCAGAGGGCGACCTGAATTTCCGAGTATTCTTGCTGGAAGGTACTATATGAGCCCCCCTCCCCAATTTCCTGCTCCCCCTCTTGTCTCTTGCACCCCGAACCTCTCAAGCCTTTAGAAAAAGGGGAAGGGGGGAACGAACAAAAAACAGGTGTATAATACATCAGTCTTTCTCAACCGCTCTGCCCCTTTAAGACGGGTGGACTTCAGCTCCCAGAATTCATAGCCCGGCTGGGGAATTCTGGGAGTTGAAGTCTTAAAGGGGCCCCGAGGCTAATGAACCAACAAATTTGCAGGTGCTTTTAAATCTGCATTTTTTTTTTTTTCTTCCCAAGAGCGAATGGCATTTTGGGGGTGGGAAACATTGTGGGTCCCCAATTCAGTGAGGAGGGAGACCCCCAAATTCTAGGAAGGGCTCTTTGGGCGGAGGTGGGGTCTTTTGGGTCGCCTCTCGATAGGGATTTCCCCCCACAGCTTTTCAGTAGAAAGCGGTTAAATTCAATGGGTCGGATTTCAATGTATTCGTTTTACATTCCAGCCAGGAATTTTAAAAAGTGCCCTATTTCTATTTTTTTTTTTTTAATTATTATTTATTGGTCTGCTGTCTGAACTCATGCTGATTATAGGTAGCTGGAAGGATAGATAATAAAATATAGAATTAGAAAAGAATAAAATATAGAATTTCGAATAGAATAGATAATAAAATATAGAATTAGAAAAGAATAAAATATAGAATAGAATAGATAATAGAATAGATAATAGAATTTTATTGAATTGAACAGAATATAGAATTTAGAATAGAATAGATAATAAAATATAGAACTAGAATAGATAATAAAATATAGAATTAGAAAAGAATAAAATATAGAATTAGAAAAGAATAAAATATAGAATTTAGAATAGAATATAATAATCGAATAGAATAGATAATAGAATAGAATAGATAATTGAATTGAATTGAATTGAATTGAACAGAATATAGAATTTAGAATAGAACAGATAATAAAATATAGAATTAGAAAAGAATAAAATATAGAATTTAGAATAGAATACAATAATCGAATAGAATAGATAATAGAATAGAATAGATAATTGAATTGAATTGAATTGAATTGAACAGAATATAGAATTTAGAATAGAACAGATAATAAAATATAGAATTAGAAAAGAATAAAATATAGAATTTAGAATAGAATAGAAGAATAGAATAGAATAGAATAGAATAGAATAGATAATAGTATTGAATAGAATAGATAATAGAATTGAATTGAATTGAACAGAATATAGAATTTAAAATAGAATAGAATAGATAATAAAATATAGAATTAGAAAAGAATAAAATATAGAATTTAGAATAGAATAGAATAATAGAATAGAATAGAATAGATAATAGAATAGAATTGAATTGAATTGAATTGAACAGAATATAGAATTTAGAATAGAATAGATAATAAAATATAGAATTTAGAATAGAACAGATAATAAAATATAGAATTAGAAAAGAATAAAATATAGAATAGAATAATAGACTAAAATAGAATAGCAACAGAAACAGAAACAGAATCAATTAGAATTGGAATAGAAATAGAATAGAACAGAATAACAAGAGTTGGAAGGGGCCTTGGAGGTCTTCTAGTCCAACCCCGTAAACCATTTCAGACAAACGGTTATCCAATCTCTTCTTTAAAACTTCCAGTGTTTGGGGAAGACTCTCGTACTGTAATTAGGGGCTTTAGGGTGCAGTCAAAAAAGTCAAAATGGCCGACGTGAGTGCGACCAAACCTGTTCCCGTTTCACGGGCTTCACTGTTACGACCATCCCTTTCCAGACAAAGGCTGTGGGGTGGAGGGCCCTTTCGAATCGGGGAAATGTGGGGTGGGGTGGGGGGGTTCTCCCTAGACCAAGATGGGGCAGGGACCGTAGTACAAAGCCTGCTTTTTTAAAAACACAAGTAGTCCTCGACTTAATAACAGTTCGTTTAGTGACCGTCGGAAGTTACAACGGCACTGACAAAAAGCGACTTAGGGCCGTTTTTCACACTTACGACCGTGGCAGCATCCCTCCGTGGTCACGTGATCAAAATCCGCGACCTTCTGACAAGCAAAGCCAATGGGGAAAGCCAGATTCATTTAACGACCGTGTGACTCACTTAACAACTGCAGGGATTCGCTTAACGATGGTGGCAAAAAAAAAGGTCGTAAAAGGGGGCAACACTCTCTTCACAGCTAGCAGTGAAACTTTCTAAGGACTACTGGAAATAATTTGCGTTGCTTTTAAAATTATCACAGAAAAAGGGGAAAAAAAGCCAAAAGGACCAAAAGGTGAAGATGCGATACTTATCATAAAATATAAAATACATCAGAAGGGCTTAAAAACAAGGGAAAAAGTACGACCACCATTGAGCCCAAAATTTACGTTGCTAAGTGAGAAATTCGTTAAGTGAGTTCTGCCCCATTTCACGACCTTTTTTTTGGCCACGTTTGTTAATGAATCTCTTCCGTTGTTAAGTGAGTAACCCGGTTGTTAAGTGACTCGGCCTTTCCCAAATGACTTTGCTGGTCAGAAGGTCACGTGACTCTGGGAGACTGCAACCGTCGTAAATGTGAAGCAGGTGTCAAGCCTCCGAATGTAAATCACATGTCCATGGAGATGCGCCAATGGTCATAAGTGTGAAAAACGGTCATACGTCACGTTTTCCCGTGCTCTTGTAACGGTCATTAAATGAACTGTTGTAAGTCGGGGACTGCTTGTCGTAGAATCTGGGATCCGGCTTGAGAGGTCTGTCCTGCCTCTTGTCTTGAACCCAGGACTTCTCTTTGCTGTCCATAATAGCCTCCTAGCTGTAGCCAGCTGTATTTTCTCACCCCTTAATTCACTGTTTCTCAACCTTAGCCCCTTTAAGACGGGTGGACTTCAACTCCCAGAATTCCCCAGTCAGCCATATAAGGTAACTTTCTTCATAGATGGTGGGTATGCACTAAACGTAATATATCTTGACGTCAGCAAAGTGAAAAAAAAAAGCTGGCTGGGAATTCTGGGAGTTGAAGTCCACAAGTCTTAAATCAGGGGTCTCCCGCCTTGGCCCCTTTAAGACGGGTGGACTTCAACTCCCAGAATTCCCCAGTCAGTCACGTAGGGTAACCTTCTTAATAGACGGAGGGTATGCAGTAAATGTAATATATCTTGACTTCGGCAAAGTGGGGGGGGGAAAAAGAGCTGGCTGAGGAATTCTGGGAGTTGAAGTCTTAAATCAGGGGTCTCTAACCTTGGCAACTTTAAGACCGATGGACTTCAACACCCAGAATCCCCCAGCCAGCTCTTTCTCCCCTCCCCCCCCACTTTACTGAAGTCAAGATATATTATGCTTACTGCATACCCTCCATCTATTAAGAAAGTTACTCTATGTGGCTGCCTGGGGAATTCTGGGAGTTGAAGTCCACAAGTCTTAAATAAGGAGTCTCCCGCCTTGGTCACTTTAAGATGGGTGGACTTCAACTCCCAGAATTCCCCAGGCAGCCACATAGGGTAACTTTCTTAATAGATGGAGGGTATGCAGTAAGCGTAATATATCTTGAGTTCAGTAAAGTGGGGGGGGGGGGAAGAGCTGGCTGGGGAATTCTGGGAGTTGAAGTCCACCGCTCTTAAAGTTGCCAAGGTTAGAGACCCCTGATTTAAGACTTCAACTCCCAGAATTCCCCAGCCAACTCTTTTCCCCCCCCCACACTTTGTTGAAGTCAAGATATATTACATTTACTGCATACCCTCCATCTATTAAGAAAGTTACTCTACACGCCTGGCTGGGGAATTCTGGGAGTTGAAGTCCACCCGTCTTAAACGGGTCAAGGATGACAAACCCTCCCTTACCCTTCTGTGTAGGAAGCAGACGTGCGTAGTGTGTAGTTGCAAGCTTTGTGCTCCCCACACACCCCCACATCTGAAGTTGTGTGTGGCTTGTGTTTCCAACGACAACCCGAGACTCCGGTTTAGCTGCTTTTTAATCATTTCAGCCACTGTTTCAATTAATCCAGAAATCCTGATTGCAAAAACGTCGTTCTGCCTGGAAAGTATCTTATTGTGAAATAAGTACAGTTACTCCTCCACTTACAACAGGTTGCTTAGTGACCGTTCCAAGTTATGACTGCACTGAAAAAAGGAGCCTTTTTCGCGGTTACTTACGACCTGTCCAGCATCTCCACGATGTGATCAAAATTCAGATGCTTGGCATCCGATTCATATTTATGACGGTCGCAGTGTCCCGGAGTAACGCAATCCCCTTTTGCGACCAACATCAATAGGGAAACCAGATTCACCTAACAAGCGTGTGACAACTATAATGATTAACAGCTGTGGAAAGAACTGTCGCAAAATTCGCTTAAGAAATGTTTGACTTAGCGACGAAAAATATTGGGTTCCACTTGTGGGTCGTAAATCGAGGACTACCTGAAATAAGTCAAAAATAAGTAAAATACCCTGTTGTATTTTAGGGTTAAAATCAAGCTATGAGGAGTTGAAAGAGTTGGCAGCTTTATAGGGTGTTTTTCAGGGGTGAAATGCTCCCGGTTCGGACCGGATCGCCCGATCCGGTAGCGATGGAGACGGGTGGTTCGGAGAACCGGTAGCAAAAATCCCTGCCCCCCCCCAATTGCCCAGCTGAGCCGCGCGATCATCAGAGGCTTTTTTAATTATTTTTAAAAGCATTTTTTCTACAACCTCTTTGGCCGAAAAAATGCTTTTAAAAGTTAAAAAAAAAAAGCCTCTGATGATCGCGCGGCTCAGCTGGAATCGTCAGAGGCTTTTTTTAATAGCGGACTGACATTTTGCAATGTTCTTTGCAAAGATTTCCTTTAATGTATTTCACACTTCCTCTTCCGCTTTCTTGATTTTCCTTAAGGAAAAATGATTTTTTAAAAAGTGGGGATTATAAAAAAAAAAAAAAAAGTGGAGATTATTTTCTTTATGAAAAGTGATTTTTTTTAAAAAAACCAAACACCTCCAGCCTATTTTTCATTAGGTGGCGCTAAATTGAAAATAAGGTGGCAATGGACTTGTGCATTCATGCATTAAACTCAGGAATGTGTGTGTGTGTGTGTGGGGTTTTTTTGCCCAAACTGTGGTTTGTTGAATCAACCCCAACATTTGGGTTCATTCACCAAAACAAGTCCTGTTGATGCATAAATATGTTGCCTGCAGAGACTTTCTAGCAAAAAATCTTGGACAAAGATTTTCCGATTTCCCAGAGTTTGCTAAAAGTAGAGATGTCCGCAAAATTGCTCGGAAACGTAAAGATGGATTTGTGATTGCGATTGCTATCTTGACTTGGATCCCCTCCCTGAATGTTAACATTCAGGCTGTAGATTTCGAAGCAGCCGCTTAAATCGGGGTCTTTTTAAAGCAACTTGAAAGTTCCTGGGAGTTGAAGTCTGCCTATCTTCAAGTGACCAAGTTTGAAAGGAAAAAAAAAAAAACCACTTGTCTTTTCCAACTTCTGGATTGGAGGAGATGGGGGACTACAACTCCCAAGAGGCTCGGCGTCAGGGGGACTCCTGGGAATTGGAGTCCAGTCATCTCGAAGTGGCTCTGTTGGGGAAAGCTCTTAAAACTCCTCTCTGCGTGTCAGGATGGGATTCCCGCCAGGTGTTGTGGCTCCGTTACCGGAGCCTGTGTCATCGGCAGGAGAGGACTCCGAGAGTGAAGGGGAGGAGTTGGCAAGGCCTCCCTCTCCAGGAGCCTCCTCTCTGGCAAGGCCTTCGGTGTCCGCCGAAGGGCAAGAGATAGGGCCGGGGCCAAGCACGTCCACGCAGCCACAGGTGGACAGTGATGAGGGTAATGAGTCTTGGCTGGATCCACGCCAGCGTCGCAGAGATAAGCGCGTGCAACAGAAGAAAAGGCGTGCCCGAGATTAGGCTGACCACTGGACCACACCCCACAGGATATAAAAGGGAGCGTGGTGGCCAGTCAAACCTTGTGACGAACAAAGCTGAAAGCTTCCACGCCATTCTGCATTGCCGGACTTTTTGCTATAGACTTTGCTGGATTATCTCTGGACTTGACTGACTCCGTAATTATTGAGCTGTTTCTTTTGATGTACCAGAAGTGGGGAGAAGTTATCTCTCCTCTTCGTAAGTAATAAACTCTTGGCAGGCAGGCAGCCACTAGGTTGTTGCCAAGTTCCGTTATCATAAGGAAAAGGATTTTGCCGGCTGGTTTGGTCTTTAACTCTTGAACGTCTGTTGGTGTATGTGCGTGTGGTTGGGGACAGAACACCAGGTTCTGAAGCCGAAGCAGAACAAGATGGACCTTCTAAAAAGACATTCAACCTATTTTTTTCCAAAGCGCCAGAAAGCAGGACAAGAAACGACGGATGGAAATTAACGAAAGAGAGAACCAACCTAGAACTAAGGAGACATTTCCTGACAGGGGGAACAATTAGCCGGTGGAACTGCCTGCCTCCAGAACTATGACATTCTGTTCAGATGAACGTCCGCATCAAGCGGCTTGCCTTCGTTCCCTTTTTTTCCTCCCCTGGCCTGTTTTTCGGAGTACGAAAGACTCCCCGTCTTCGAAATGCGAGGGGAAAGATAACTATAGTGCTGATCCCTCATTATATTTTCCTTCTTCCCGCCAGAGATCGTCCGAGCCATGACTTACGTGATCAACCAAGGCATGGCCATGTACTGGGGGACTTCTCGCTGGAGCGCCATGGAGATTATGGTAAATTCTGATGGGTTTTTTTTTTTTTGTTGGGAGTGGTTCCTCTCTTTTTTCATTTTCCCACTCTCTTCTTCCTTTCCCCTCTTTCTTCTCCGCAACGTAGGAAGCCTACTCGGTAGCTCGGCAGTTCAACCTCATCCCTCCCGTCTGCGAACAGGCGGAATATCATATGTTCCAGAGAGAAAAGGTGGAAACTCAGCTTCCAGAGTTGTATCACAAGATAGGTATGAAGGAAGGAGGAAGAAGGGATTGGGGAAGAGGAGGAGGAGGAGGAGGAGGAGGAGAGGAGGAGTGGATCTCAGGGAGAGAGCCCTTCTCCTCCCCCTATTTTCCCCTCCTGCATTATAAGGTTCTTCCTTGTCCTCCTCTCCATCTATTCCAGTGTTTCTCAACCTTGGACGCTTGAAGATGGGTGGACTTCAACTCCCAGAATCCCCCAGCCAGCAGCGCTTTTTTATTTCTCATAAGCATATTTAAGTGTACAGTCTCTTATCCATCATTCATCATTCATCTTTTCCTTTCACTTTCATTTCTGTTTGTTCGGGGCTGCTCTTTTACCATTTCCTCTTCTTTCGTTTTACCGCAACCTTTCCTCTTCTCCTTCCCTCCTCTTCCTTCTTCTGTCCCTTTCTACTTTCTTCATTCCTCCTCTCCTCCCCTCCCCTTCCCCCACTCCTCTCTTCCTCCTCCCTTTCTAACCCTCTCTCCTTTCCTCTCTCTTTTCTGCCTCTCCTTTTCCCTCTCTTCTATCCCTCTCTCTCTCCTTTCCTCTCTTCTCCCCTGTTTCCCTCTCTCTATTCCTCTCTCCTTTCCCTTTCTTTTGTTGTATCCATTTTCAATTTAATTTAATACTTACCTGGCAGGGGAGATACCTTGATCATGTAGGATAACTTTCTTAATAGATGGTGGGTATGCAGTAAGCATAATATATCTTGACTTCTTTCAGCAAAGTGGGGGGGGAAAAGAGCTGGCTGGGGAATTCTGGGAGTTGAAGTCCACAAGTCTTAAATCAGGGAGTCTCCAACCTTGGCAACTTGAAGACTTGTGGACTTCAACTCCCAGAATTCTCCAGCCAGCCACTTTCTTAATAGATGGTGGGTATGCAGTAAGCGTAATATATCTTGACTTCATTCAGCAAAGTGGGGGGGAAAAGAGCTGGCTGAGGAATTCTGGGAATGGAAGCCCACCCCACCCTAAAAGTTGCCGAGGTTACTGACCTCCATGTTGATTGAGGAATTCTGGGAGTTGAAGTCCAACCATCTTAAAGTTGAGTTGGGAAACGTTGACCTAAATGGACACAAGCGGAGTCCAGTTGTGTTTTCATGGGTTTTCCTACCTAAGAGACAAACCATGATTCCTAAACACAGCACACTGCAGAAGTGAAGGTGGCTTATTTTAGCCCAAGGTTAGTGGGCTAAGCCCCTTCAAGTGACTGACCGACTGATGCTTGAAGGATCTGGAGGCCCCTTGCTGTAGGGTCATAGTAAGCTTTTGAGGGAAGGCTGTGAGTGATACCTGAAGATTTAGTGAGAGCAGATCCATCCTGACCCCACCTGCCCCATTTACCTTCTTCAGGTGTAGGAGCTATAACTTGGTCTCCACTGGCGTGTGGACTCATCACGGGAAAATATGAAGAACACGTGCCGGAGAACTGCCGGGCAGCCATGAAGGTAGGATCCTGACCATTCTTGACCGCCAAAATACAGCACAATCTCTTCCAGTTGGGTTTCTCAAGTCTTCCTTGAAAGCTCAGAGTCTCCTTCGCTAAGAATTTTTGGGGACTGAAGGTGGTCTTCTACCGTTAGGTGTGGAGGTCTCCCAGATTCTCCTGGTCAGCAGGGCCAAAGCTGAGAATCCTGGAGGTGAACCCATAATAACCTCTGGAATTGGCTGAGGATGGGTCCTGCTGCCTTCGAATGATGATGATGATGATGATAGTGTGATATCCGTTCATTCGTGTCCGGCTTTTGGTGATTCTGTGGGCCAGGTCTCTCCCCATCTTCCTCTCGGGACTTTTATTGTTTCGTCGAAGTATAAAATGCAAAGGAAAATAAAACACAGGAAACGAGGGGAAGGAAACAGAGAGAGGGAAGGAAAATATGAGTGACAAAGGGGGAAAGAGAAAAAAAAAACATTGATTTCCGACTCTTTTTAGCACAGTAGGACAACATTACAACCTCAACTTTTTACTTTTACACATTTGTTTACTTTTACACATTTTACACATTAGTGTATCGCTAGCCATTTCTACAACTGCCCTGCCGGAAATTCTACAATTCTACAATTTCCTGCCCTTTTCTACAATTTCCTGCCCTTTGGAACGAACTGCCCCCCGGAAATACGTACGATCTCTGACCTCCGAGTTTTTCGCTGTGCCCTCAAGACCCTGCTCTTCCGACAGGCAGGGCTATCTTTGTAAAGGAGTTTTAAATTCGGAGTTTTTAAATTTGGGGGGTTTTTCACGAATCTCGGCCGTAAATGTAATAATTTCAATAATTTTTAAATTTAATTGGGATTTGTATTGTGTTTTTTTACTTGGCTGTGCACCGCCCCGAGTCCTTCGGGAGAGGGGCGGTATAGAAATAAAATTATCTATCTATCTATCTATCTATCTATCTATCTATCTATCTATCTATCTATCTATCTACAACAACAAATATATATATAATATATCTAACATATATCTAATCGGCAAAACCAAAGTTTTGTTTTGTTTTTAATTTTTTTACCAACATGCCAAACAATGCGTGGCATCTGAGTGTCGTGCATTCTAATACAAATAAAACTAGTAAAATTAATCATAGTTATTATGTTCAATCAACTTACATATTTCTAATAATGATACACCATTATAATAAGTTGCAGTCTGTCATTGTTCAATTATTCCACCTTTTCTCTTACGGTTACATTTATTTTGATCAGAAGGGAATAGAGGGATGGTTTTACTCCAAACGGATGCTCGGTGGCTGGGCTGAGGTTTATGCCCTGCTGTTCCACAAGACCCCCTCCGTGATGGTCATCTTGGCCCTCTCCTCCTCTTTCAGGGGTACCAGTGGCTGAAGGAGAAGCTGCAGAGCGAAGACGGGAAGAAGCAGCAAAGCAAAGTGAAAGCGCTGCAGCCCATCGCCGAACGCCTGGGCTGCACCGTGGCACAGCTGGCCATTGGTGAGGACGCTGGAGGGGGGGGGGTGCATGCGTGCATGTCTCTGCGCGCCTGTCTTTTTGTAACTGTAAGTGTTCTGTCCCCGTCCCACACACGCACCCCCACAGACGGCCCGGAGTTAATAAGCCACACGACAAAACTCTTTGATGATAAAGCTGGCAGCAACCCAGTGGCCAGCTGCCAATTCAGACTTTACTCACACAAAACAAAGATTAGACTGCAAGCATTCCAATAAAGCAGGCAGAGTTTCAACAATATAAGGATTAATCCAAATGCAGTCCGATAAAGCAGGCAAAGTCCAGTAACGCAGAGATCATGGATTATTTCTAGTTTTTGCTCGTCACAAACTGAACCGGCCACCACACCCACATTTATACCCTGTGGGGTGTGGTCCAGTGACTCGGCTAATCTCTGGCACGCCTTCCCCTCTGCTGCGCACGCTTCTCCCTGCGCCTCTGCCGAGGGTCCAGCCAGCACTTATCTCCTTCGTCGCTATCCACCTGTGGCTGCGGGGACGTGCTTGGCTCTGAGCCTATCTTTTGGCCTTCGGTGTCCTCCGGAGGCATTGCCAGAGAGGAGGGTCCTGGAGAGGGAGGCCTTGCCAACTCCTCTCCCTCACTCTCAGAGTCTGCATCTGTCGTAGCCCAGGCTCAGGCAACAGTAAGATCCCATAGTTTACCTGAGTCACCGAGGTGCCAAAGATAGCGAGGCTCATGAAGAGGCGTGAAAAAGTAACAGCCCTTATTTGTTCTCGTGTTCCTAGGCAGTCCCCTTCTCTGGCCCCGTTTATCTATGGAGCAGGATGTTCCTGGGTAACTAGACCAGAAATTTGGGGGGGGGGGGAATCCAGTGCTGGGTTTCAAAAAGTTTTGCTACCGGTTTGGTGGGCGTGGCTAGATAGTAGGTGTCAGGTTTCGATGTCGTCTCAAGTAAAATAAATTGCATTTCCAAACAAATAGTCTTTGATGAAATCTTTCATTTATTAAGCACGACAATCTGTCCCCGATTGTGGCGTAGCCAACACTGACTTCCTGACCCCAAACCTTCCCTTTCCGTTCCCCAATTCTTTATGTCTCATTGGCCATCTTCCAAATCACTCTCCCCATATCTACTACTTCAGCTCCCAGGAATGTCCCCCCTCCCATCTCATCTCCTAGGGGATATTATCTTCAGGGAAAATAAGTAGGTGAAAAGTCAACCGTCCTCTTGCCAGCTACCCCCTCTTCTCCTTCTTATGTCAGCACTAGAGTAAATGCAGGTTGAAGTGCTGACAGAAGGGCCATGTGACTGAGTGGGTGTGGCCAATTTGACACCCACTCAGTCACATGACCCACCCACCCCACCTAGCCACGCCCACAGGAAAAGGTAGGAAATTTTTTGGAATTTCCACCTATCTGTCCCCACCCTCCCTTTGCCAGTCACCCCTGTTTCCCCTCCTTTAGCGGCCCCGGCCCTACCCCGCTTCCTTCCCCACCACCGCCTCTTTGTTCAGGCTGCTTACCTTCCGTGGCGGCTGATCCAGAGTCCGGAAGGCAAGCTGACCGGAGTTTTCGGCAGCCCCCAGCCAGCCAGCCGCTGCTGCTGGAAAGCTTTGCAACTGCGGTGGCTGGCTGCGGGCCGCCGAAAAGTATCGGCGGAAAAAGCTTCTGCCGTCACAGCCATGTTCTTCGCGCATGTGCATCCCATTGGACTTGCAAGGCAATGGGATGCGTGTGCGCCAAGAACATGGCGGCGACGAACATGGCGGCCAGGACAAGCGAGCGGTGAACGGGGAACCGGTTTGGGGACATGGCCAGCCGACCATCACTACCGGTTCGGCGACCTTGGCCAAATTTCTGTCAACGGTTTGCATGAACCGGTGCGAACCGGCGCGAACCGGCTGAATACCACTTCTGAGGGAATCCCAAAACTGGTAGTAGCAAGCTACTTCCTTGCTGTTACCTAGCGAGCCCCACATCCATGTCGTTCCCTAATGATTTTGGCTGTTCTTGAAAAGCTAAGGAGAAATTTCCTGACAGGGAGAACAATTAACCAGTGGAACTGCCTGCCTCCCGAAGTTGTGGAGATGCTCCGTCACTGGAAAGAACATCAGAGACGAGTGAAGCTGTGAACAGATGCGATTATATCACGAAATATATATAATTATTTTTGGCTTCTGAAGCTTTAGCTGTGACCTTTTTTGGGGGTTGAGAAATCAGCGCAGCCCCCCCCGGAGCAGATTCACAGCAAGGAGGGACCTGCAGAAAACGGTCTCCGAACGCACCAGAGATGATCACACTCACACCTACACACAAGGCACCAATTTTAGAAGATGCTAAACTTGTTCCTTTCTGACCTATTTCGGGGGAATCCTCTTTTCCCAACAGCCTGGTGTCTTCGCTCGGAAGGGGTCAGCTCCGTGCTTCTGGGGGTCTCTAGCGCCGAGCAGCTCATCGAGAACCTGGGATCCATTCAGGTGAGGAGGAGGAGGAGGACTGTGCGATCCTTGGTGCTCTCTGAGCTTGGTAGGTTTTTTTTTTTTGAAGACCTTTCATGACCCAACTAGGGAACGTCGTCAGTGCTAGAAGGGATGGGGGGTTGTGGAGATGAGGAGGAGGAGGAGGAGGAGGACTGTGTGGTCCTTGGTGCTCTCTGAGCTTGGTGGTTTTCTTGCAAACATTTCATGACCGAACTAGCTAATATCATCAGTGCTAGAAGGAAGTGGGGTTTGTAAAGAGGAGGAGGAGGAGGAGGAGGAGGAGGAGGACTGTGAAGTCCTTGGTGCTCTCTGAGCTGTTTTCTTGCAGGCGTTTCATGACCCAAGTAGGGTACGTCATCAGTGTTAGAAGGGAGTGGGGTTTGTCAAAAGGAGGAGAAGGAGGAGGAGGAAGAGGAGGAGGAGGAGAATTGTGGGGTCCTTGGTGCTCTCTGAGCTTGGTAGTTTTTTTGCAGACGTTTCCTGACCCAGCTAGATAACACTATCAGTGCTAGGAGGGAGTGGGGCTTGTGGAGATGGGAAGGGGAAGAGGCGGAGGCCAGGGATCTGGCGATCAATCCCTCAGTGGGAGAGGGGGGGCTGCGTTTAACCCCGTAAAGGTGGAGGCTATGGGTGAGGGCCGCCTTTCTCTCTCCCCACTCCTCCCGCTATCTATGTTATAAATTCACCCGAAGCTTTTTTTCCCCCACCAAGCAAGGTGGTTCGAATGAAGACAGGTAAAAAAGCTGGGAGAACCCCCCCCCCAGCTTCCAACCATCCATGGAGCCCCCCCCACCTCCAAGCCCCCCCAAACAACAGAGAAATTCAAGCATAAGGGGGCTGCCCACCTGCCCTTCCTCCAAAGGGGTCCTATTTTTAAGACGGCTTGTCATTTTGCACCCATGAAATTTTAGAGAACACCTAGAAGTTGCAGCCGCAACAATACAGATGTGACAAATGGGGGGGGGAAATGCACCTTTTTTTTTTCATGCTGACCCCCCCCCCCCTCTCTTTCTCCTCCGACAGGTCCTCACCCAGCTGACCCCTCAAGTCACCCAGGAAATCGACGCAGTCCTGGGGAACAAACCCAACGCCAAGAAGGAGTCCCGGGCGTAGTACGGCTGCCGTGGACACCCCGCCACCGGACTTGCCTCCTTCCTGCTCCTCCGTGGACCCCCGTGTCCCGTGTGTGTCGTCCCGCGCCCGCCCGCCTGCCCGCCACCCACCAGCTGCTGCCTTCGACAAAGGCGGGAGTGGGCCGAGAGGAGCCGCTTTGCGCATGAACCAAATATCCGTATTCTTCCAAGACAGGTGAAGCGGGAAAGCTTCATCCTGGCTCTCCGCGGAGGCCTGCTTACAGTCTCGAGTTCAAATCTACGGCATGAGCAAACTCGCGCTTTGGTAGGGCTGACCACCTACCCACCCACCCCCAACCGCCTTGGCCTGGCTGGGCCGGTGCCCGGGGTGCTGCGACCCCTTTCTGTACAGGGGAGGGCCTGGCTTCCTCCAAAGGGGTTGTCGGAAGTGTGGGGGGGGAACAAGCTAGAGAAATAAGCACAATTTTGGTCTAAGAGGACCTCGATCCATCTGGGGTGTAAGATAACCTCGATTGACCTGCAACCCACTGTCCCTCGCGTGGGATCCCCGACGCCCCCATTTCTCTCGTTTCCGTGGCTTTGTGGCACGCGGCGAGCTGCTTTCCCCGATCGGGGGTCTCCTTTCGGGATATGCCGGAGGGGAGAGGGGGGGAAACGGATCCCGGAGGCCGTAGTCCCAACGCGCGTCTGAAAGGCGCCAGCTCAAGGCACCACAAAACCGTCCCAATTTTGCAATACAAATCCGGGGTGAACACCAGCATTGTCGTAAGAGAGGCATTGCCCCAGGGTTAGATTGGCCTAAATCAGGACAAAAAATCCCGCACACGGTGGAAGAAAAACAGACACCCCAATTTAATTTTTTTCTGAGTTTGCCTTTTTTTTCTGATCAGTATTTTTTTTGGGGGGGGTGGGGTCTTCCTGGTTCTTGGTCAGTCACGACCTGCTGGCTTGCGGCCCGATCTCAGAAGCCAAAGGGTTCCGGCTTGAGAAAGGTTTGGGGATGGGAGACCACCAGGTATCTCAAGGCAGGGGAAAGCCGTCCCCCAGAAGAAAAGGGACAAGGGACTTCCGTCTGGTTGTCAGGACTTGAAGGACGTCCCCGTCTCCGGGTTCTGGGAGTTGAGGTTTCACCCGTCGGAAAGCGGCCAGCTTGGGAAACTGAGCTGGTTCGTGACAGAGGGATTGGGATTCCCTCTGCCGGCATCGGCAGGAAAGGAAAATTGGCTCTCCTGCGGCAGGGATCGGTTGGGAGGGAAGAGAGTTTATGACCTTCCTCCTGGGACGCACGTTCCCCCCCTCCCCAAGGGCTCCTGTGGGTTAGGAGGACTCCTAAGGGTAGGGAAACGAGTTCTGGTTCTCAGCTCCTCAGTCTTCCTTCCTTCCTTCCTTCCTTCCTTCCTTCCTTCCTTCCTTCCTTCCTTCCTTCCTTCCTTCCCTCCCTCCCTCCCTCCCTCCCTCCCTCCATTCCCTTACTCTTTTCCTTCCTTCCTATTTCTTTCCCTCCCTCCCTTACTCATTCCTTTCTTTCTTCCTTCCTTCCATCCTATTTCTTTTAACCCCTCTTGTCCTTTCTGTTCCTCTCTCCTTCCTTCCTTCCCTCCCTCCCTCCCTCCCTCCATTCCCTTACTCCTTTCCTTCCTTCCTATTTCTTTCCCTCCCTCCCTTACTCATTCCTTTCTTCCTTCCTTCCTTCCATCCTATTTCTTTTAACCCCTCTTGTCCTTTCTGTTCCTCTCTCCTTCCTTCCTTCCTTCCTTCCAGACGTTTCATTACCCAAACTAGGAAACATCCTCAGTTTATCAGCACTAGCACTGATGATGATACCTACTTTGGTCATGAAATGTGTACAAGAAAACAACCAAGCTCAGAGAGCACCAAGGATTCCTCATGTCAACTCTGAGCTACAAATATACTCCTTTATTGGTATTTCCTGCCCCTTCCTTCCCCTTATCCTTTCCTTCCTTCCTTCTTTCCTTCCCTTCCTCTTGTCTATTTCTCCTCCCTCCCTCCATTATTGGTATTTCCTGTCCCTTTCATTTCCTTCCTTCCTTCCTTCCTTCCTTCCTTCCTTCCTCTTATCTATTTCTCTTCCCTCCCTTCCTTCATCCCTCCCTCCCTTCCATCCATCCCATCCATCTTTCCTTCCTTCCTTTCCTTCCTCTTGTCTATTTCTCCTCCCTCCCTCCATTATTGGTATTTCCTGTCCCTTTCATTTTTTTCCTTCCTTCCTTCCTTCAATCCTTCCTTCCTTCCTCTTATCTATTTCTCTTCCCTCCCTTCCTTCATCCCTCCCTCCCTCCCTTCCATCCATCCCATCCATCTTTCCTTCCTTCTTTTCTTCCTTCCTTCTTTCCTTCCTTTCCTTCCTCTTGTCTATTTCTCCTCCCTCCATTATTGGTATTTCCTGTCCCTTTCATTTTTTTCCTTCCTTCCTCCTTCCTTCCTTCCTTCCTTCCTTCCTTCCTCTTGTCTATTTCTCCTCCCTCCCTCCATTATTGGTATTTCCTGTCCCTTTCATTTTTTCCTTCCTTCCTCTTGTCTATTTCTCTTCCCTCCCTTCCTTCATCCCTCCCTCCCTCCCATCCATCCCATCCATCTTTCTTTCTTTCCTTCCTTCCTTCCTCTTATCTATCTCTCCCTTCCCTCCCTTTCTTCCTCTCCCTTTTCCACCCACCTCCAATCTATTCCTAAGGAATGAGCCATCTCTTTTAAAAGCAATAATAAAAGTGCCCCTCGGGGTCAAGGGTCACGTGGGGCGAAAGGAAGGACAGCTCCCGCAGTTCCCCACCCTGCCCCACTGCTTCGCTTGGGGAACCCCCTCCCTCCTTTTCGCACTTCTCATTGCTTTGGGTCCAAATGCCTTGCGCTGGCTGTGAAATTTACTCTAGAGTAGCCTCTTCCCTGGGTCTCTGCGGAGGGCAGCCACGGGGTTGGGCATCTGCTGGTCAGAATGGAGGCAACGGTGGGCTTTCTCACAAAAAAAAACACGCCCCCCCCCCAAATCCCCTTTTGCATGCAAACAAGATGCTTCTTGGTTAAAATTTCATGTGGAGTCTTGCATTTGGGTAGATTTTCTGTCCGGGACGTGACTCTGGCACAGCCATATTGCACCAGAAATTTTTTAAAAAGCAGATTTTTTTCCTTAACTTTGGTCACGTTAAGATACGTGGACTTCAACTCCCAGAATTCCCCAGGCCAGCTACGTAGGGTAACTTTCTTCATAGATGGTGGGTATGCAGTAAGCATAATATAGCTTGACTTCAGTAAAATGGGTTTTTTTTTATTTTTTAAAACATGAAAAACATAAAATACATCTTTTTAGAGCAAGGATTTGATCCGGTATAAAGTAAATACAATTACTCACATTCCCTCAACCAATTTTGTTCCAAATTTTTATCCATTTACCTCTTTAAAAAAAAAAAGAAAGAAAGAAAAAGTAAAGAAAAACAATCTTATTCTAAACATTTAGATTTTAAACATTCTACTATGTCACCCTAAATTCTAAACAATTATTTCCAAATAGACATCATTCCAAATCTTTGTCATTTTAACAATCAATATTTCATATATATTCCTCATTTCTAAGACCCATTACATCGAGTTTGTACCTCTTTTAAATGACAACTAATATCCATAATCTTAACAAAGAATATTTTCCTCCTCTCTTAAGCATAATATATCTTGACTTCAGCAAAGGGGGGGGGGAGGAGAACTGGCTGGGGAATTCTGGGAGTTGAAGTCCACAGGTCTTAAATCAGGAGTCTCCCACCTCAGTCACTTTAAGATTTGTGGACTTCAACTCCCAGAATTCCCCTGGCCAGCCACATAGGGTAACTTTCTTCATAGATGGTGGGTATGCAGTAAACATAATATAACTTGACTTCAGCAAAGTGGGGGGAGAAAAAAAAGAGCTGGCTGGGGAATTCTGGGAGTTGAAGTCCACGGGTCTTAAAAGCGACCAAGGTTCGAAAAATCCTGGGATTCAACTTGGTCTGCAGAGAAACCTTCATTCTTAGTCTCCGAAATCTTCAGTCTAATTTGCATGCAAACCCCAACCGTTTTCCAGGTGAGTCCCATCACACCTGCTTCCCGAGCCACTTCTGCTCCTCTTTTCTCGCCCCCACCCCCAGCCCAGATTGTGGTGGCTGGCCGCCCTTAGCAAGACCGCTCCCCGTTTTCTGGAGCGTTCGACTTTTTGATACCTAGGAAGAGTTTCAGGAGGTAGCTCGGCGTAGAGCTATTAAAATTGGGGGGTGGGACGGAGACCAGCACCAGTAGCATTTCTTTCTACCTATAAAACACAGACAGACCCTTACCTGTGGCTGGCTTTGTTTTGGGGGGCGGGGGGGAAATGTATGTTTTTACAAAAAAAAAAAAAGTTTTAAAAGAACTTTTAAAAGAATCTGATCCAGATTTGTACCTGCTGAAAGGCCAAGACAATGCATTTTTTAAAACTATTTTGAGGAGAGGGGATTTATTGGATTTCTTGAGCATAACGACAGAGGAGAAGGGAATAAAAGGGAATATATTATGTTTTCAGGGGACATAAATTCACTTATAGAACCAACCAACCGAAGCCCGATAAAAACGGAAGCACGTAATGGGGCTCCGGCGAGAAGGAAATGAAGAATTTTGAGGCTCGGGCGAAGAAAAAAGGGGTGTGTGAATATCTCTCCCGGCTGTCTATCGCGGTGGCCCAAAGGTGCTTTTTGGACTTCCTTTGTTTGTTTTTTTTCCTTGAAGACCTTTCGCTTCTCATCCAAGAAGCTTCTTCGGTTCTGGTTCAATGACGGAGGACGGAAGGATTTATATTCCTTGCAGTCCTCTGGTTGTTAGTACTCCCTCTGGGAGTTGTTGAGGCCACTTGGAGGTTTATAGTATCTCGGCCTTCAGGGTCGTCCTCTTCCATTTTCAACGGGGGGAATGGGGGGAGGGATACGACACCCCCCCCATCTCCTGTTTACAACACAGCAGTTCCAAGAAGGTTGACTAGAATAGAGGTGGAAGGGACCTTGGAGGTCTTCTAGTCCAGCCCCCTCTACTATTTCTGATAACTGACTGTCTAGTCTCTTCTTAAAAACTTCCAGTGATGAAGCACCTACGACTTCTGGTGGCAAGCTGTTCCCCTGGTTAATTGTCTTCCCTGTTAGGAACTTTCTCCTTAATTCCAGGTTGCTTCTCTCCATGATTGCTTTCCAACCGTTCCTTCTTCTCCTGCCTTCAGGGGCTTTGGAGAATAAATTGAGCCCCCCCTCTTCTTTGGGGCAGCCCCTCAAATATTGGAAGACTGCTATCATGTCTCCCCTAGTCCTTCTTTTCATTAAACTAGACATACCCAACCATTTGCACTACTCAGGGGACCCTGAGGACACAGATAAACCTCCAAGCGGCCTCGACGACCCTCAATAAGAGTGCCAAGGACCAGACGACTGCGAGGACTATAAATCCTTCCATTCTCCGCCATTCAGTCGGAACCGAGGAAGCTTCTCGGGGGAGAAGCGAAATGTCTTCAAGGAAAAACATAGTCCAGTTGCCCCCTTTGAAAAAGCACTTTCTCTCAAAAGTTAAAAGTTAGCCAGGAAGTAACCAAGCTTGTAATGAGTGAAAAGCATGACGATGGGAAGAGGGGGGGAAATAAAAGAGAAGTCAGTCATCCATCTTCCTCCTCCTCCTCTTCTTCTTCTTCCCTCAAGCCAAACAGCTGCCTTCTCATTCCAGCTGCTTCTGCAACCTGGCCAACTCTACCTGTCTGGGCTGAAGCTTGGGGGTGGGTGGGTGATGGGCACCGTAGTCCAGGAGCTGAGTTAGGGAGGGCTCCGCCGCCATCCGCAGAGACCGCTTTTGAGGGAAGACATGCTTGATATCAATAGAATGGGCCCATCTAGCTAACTTCTAGGTTTTGTTTTTTTTTCTTCTTCTTCTTCTTCTGGATTGTCGGGGTGGGGGGGGGGGTGGGGGGGAAGATCTGAACTGTTGAAATAAACAGCAGACGACGAAACCAAATGCGTCTGGCCTGTGTGTTTGATATTCCTCGTTCTGGCGTCCCTTCTGAAGAGGCGGGGAAGCTGATTTAGCCGGGGGCTGTTCTCATGTTCTTGGGATAAATACAATGAGAGAGTTAGGCACGAAAGGAGGTTGGGTGACTTTGGACCAATCGCCAGGAGACTGGGAGTTCTAGTCCTATTTTAGGCATGGAAGATGGCTGGGTGACTTTGGACCAATCGCCAGGAGACTGGGAGTTCTAGTCCTGTTTTAGGCATGGAAGACGGCTGGGTGACCATCAGCCAGTCATTTGCTAT